TCCCATGCCCATCAGTGGATTGTGCACTGGTGCATCCTAGTGGGACGTGCTGTCGGAATGTGGGGCCTGGTCCGAGGCAGATGGCGACCTGGACATGTGTACTCTTGTCCTTGGTTCCCCCCTCATCTCTGCTTCCGGCTGCCACGGGATAAGTGATTTTCCGCTGCCTGGCGATTGCCTCAGGCTGTTTCTGCCTGTGAGCCTGCTCGGCCTCACCTAAGCCCTCTGAAACTGTGAGTCAAATAAGCCTCCCTCCCTCCTTTGGGTGGGTATCAGGCATAGAAGTACTGCTACAGAGCACTGGTGCCAGAAGTGGGATCCTCCTGGGCCTGGACCTGATCGAGTGGTTCAGAAGCCTTTGGAACTAGTTTGTGGGGGGAGTTTGGATAGATTTGGAGATACTAGCTGTTGGAGCTCTGGGAGGCTGAAACAGAGCCTGATGGGTGACTCTGGTCACAGCTCAGAGGACCAGAATGCTGACAGGAACTTGGACAGTAAAGGCCAGGCTGGGGAGGTTTTGGTTGGGCCCAAAGAGTATGTGGTAGCTCTCAGGGTTAGCATCATGAGATTGCAAGGCAGTAGGTCTGAAGGCATCTCAGGAATTGGCCAGGCCTCTCCCACAGCAAGCTCAGGGGTACAGAAGGGTAAACACGTTTTGAAAGACTGTTTTGAGGGAGAGCTCAAGGGTGCGCTGCTCATTCAGGGCCACGCAGGGATGTGCTTCCCGAGCTCAGCCACCCAAGCACCCAGAGGCCGTTGCATCACGCGCAAGCTGGTGGCAGACCTTGGCGTCATCCACATGGCGCTGGCTTTTCAGGAGTGCAGACTGTGGGAGTTATGGGGTCAGGGAGATTCCACCCAGATTTCAGAAGAAGGCCCGAGACCAGGCAAAAATGTGTGACAGGGTCATAGTCCCTGAAGGGAGCCCCTGAGACGGTGATGCTTGAGATTCTGAGACTGAAGTCAAAGATACAGGGGAGACCCCAGGAAGTGGAAGCCTGGCATGTGGGCTGTCTGCCAAGGAGGTGGTAGGCACGAGAAGAGCCAGCCCAGGAGAGGCCATGCAGACTGCCAGCAGCAGCGCCACAGGGCGCTGGGCTCGGAGCTACAGGAGTTAACGTTTGCCCTGCTGGTCTTGTTTCAGTCCCTCTGGTTCCTCTCTAGCCCCAGGCTCCTCCCTCTTAGGATGGGGATGTTTACCTTGTGCCTTTGTATGTCTTTTTGATTTGTACAGGGACTCAAAGCTAGGTGGTTGGCCTTGAGTCTCAGAGACTTGGAACCCTTAGGACTTTGGTGATTCTTAAGAGAGGGATGAAGTGCATCTTGCATAATGGCATAGAGAAGATTTACTGGGGGCTGGAGGTGGAATGTCATGATATGGATTAAAATGTTTCTTTGTTGGGCGTGGTGGTACACCCCTGTCATCCCAGAACTCAGGAGGCTGAGGCAGGAGGATCGTTTCAAGTTGAGACCAGTGCGGGTTTCACAGTAAGTTCAAGGCCAGCTGAGCTGCATAGTGAGACCCTATCTCAAAAAGACAAAAAAACAAACAAACAAAAAAGTCCTAAAAGTCTCGTGTGCTTGGAAGGTGACTGGGTCATTAGTCCAGCAGATTAGAGGTGGGAAGTTCCCCTCAGAAGCCTCAGAAGCTAGAAAAGAGGGGAAGGACACCCATGGAGCCCCAGGAGGTGGCAGAGGAAGGACCCTCACTTCAGGGCGCACGGCCTTGTGGACACCTGGACCTTGGACGCGCAGCCTCTGGCACGAGGGATCTCTGCGGCTTCAGCCCCAGCCAGGCATGCTGCGTGCTGGCCCAGGAAGCCCGCCGAAGCAGCAGAGCACACCTGCCTGCGGGCCAGCAGTGGCTGAGGCCGGGCGGTGTCACACACCAGGTGCAGAGTGCCCTGTGCTTTTTGTAGAGCTAACAGGCGTGGGCCAGCTAGGGAGCCACTGAAGCGGGAAGGCCCTCCTCCTCCATGCCTTGGAAACTGTGGCAGGGAGGGGACATTTGTCCCGGTCTCCCTGGAGCAGCTCAGGATGGATGCTGCTCTGGGCCAGCACTGACGCGCTGACGCTTGCTGTTCTGCAGCCTCTGTGTGTCCCCGTTCAGGCCACCAGTGGCAGCAAATAATTTTTATTTTTTCCATTAACAGAGCAGAAGCATGAAGTAAACCTAATCCGTAAATAACCCTCCCAGGATCGGAGAGTGTGCTGGCCGGAGGTGGGTCCCACCCCTTGCCTTTGGGTCAGTTCTCTCACTGGTTAAGGGCCGTGGCCTGTCCCCAGGGCAGTCTCGTAGGCTGGGTGGGAAGAAGAGCATTTGGAGGCCAGCAGGACAGAGATTTTAGCACCATCTTGAAAGCCACGAATCGTGATGGTGGCAGGGCTGAAGCCAGAACTGCAGAGGTGGAGCAGCCAGGTCCGGCCTCCTTCCCTGTCCGTGCCAGCGGTGCTGAGTGGTGCCGACTGCAGGGCACAGGCGTTCGCAGGGGCTGGACACCTGGCTCCTCGGGTGCAGGGCAGGCCCCCGGGCACAGGGGGACGGGGGTCCCAGGCCAAGCCTCCTGGCACCCAGCTCCTGAGATGGGCTGCGAGAGGCCCTGTGCACTTGACTGGGAGCCCCGTGAGGCACTGGGGGGCTGTCCCCAGGTGAGACAGTTTTGTCACGGCAGGGGCCACCCTGCCTGCCTCCTCTGGGCCTGGGATACCACGTTATTTCCCGCCAGGGATCAGATACAAAGTGTGTCTGGCTTTGTAGGACCGTGGCTGCCACATGCAAGTGGTGGGCATGGCAACTGCATGCTGATAGAACTTCACCCAAACAAGGCAAGGGGCCAAGTGGGTGTGAGGACTGTTGGGTGTGGGGACACTGAACTCAGCCCATGCACCCACAGTGGAGGGTCTCGGCCACGCTGGCCCAGGTACCATTGGAATGTGTGGACAGCCCTCCCTGGAAGGTCTCCTCGACTTTCCCATGGGCCCTGTGGCCCGCACTTGCCCCTCTGCCCCTTCTTGTCCTGCAGGACATGCATCACAGTGGTACCTTCAGTGGGCTTCCTTTGTCCTCTGCCACCACCCCAGGCCTGGCACACGGCGGACAGTGATGGCCCTGCCTCAGCTCTGGCTTTACTGTGACGTCTCTGAGCACCGTGGAGACACAGGCCCATCTAGCCTCTGTGCACACCCAGCATGAGGCCTGGCCCCTCCACAGGCTGAAGATATTAGGAGGCTCAGGCCTGGGTGGGGGTAGAGGACACTCCACCTCTGGGGTGGAGGCCACTGGGGGCACAGTGGCTACATCCCTCAGGCTCTGGGCAGAGGGAGTGACCAGCCTGCTGGGGAAGTCACAGCCCCAGCCCCACGCTTCCCCTGCCTGCCCCTGGGCATTTTTTTTTTTTTTTCACTTGTTACAAGACAACATTTTAATGAAAATTCAGTGGTGGATATGTATAATCCAGGGGCTAAATAGTTACAAGGGACTGTCATAGAAATGTAAAGCCGACTAGATAGATGCTCAGATAATTGTTACATATTCTTATCATCTGATTCATCTTCTTCCTTCAGTGATTCCTTAGTGTATTTCTCTGCTTCTTCCCTTACATCTTTTGGAACAATTTCATGTCTTCCTTTAGTTAATTCACCAACCCAGCTGAGCTCGAGTTCAAAAGCTTTATCCTTAACTTCATCATGTACTATGTAAATTATTTTTGCAACTTCTTTAACAACATCACGGCAGGTCATTTCTTTCATCTGAAGCTTCTCTATTTCTGTCTTTGCCGCTTGCCGGGCTTTGCCAATAGCACAGCCCCAATAACCGTATGAAACACCTGAAGGGTCGATCATGTAGAGTTGTGCACCATCATTCACACTGTAAGACCCAAGCATGAAACTGCAGCCGAAGGGTCTGACAGCACTGTAGAGTGTGTAAGCATGTACGTACATGGCCACTCGGTCTGCAAGATGTTTCAGTGGAATGTTATAGCCATAGTTAGATCTAAAGTTGGAAGCTTCTTCTCTTGCTATGTCTGCTAAAGACCGAGCATCTGCCAGCAAACCTGCTACTGCCATCCCAACATGCCGATCAACATTAAAAAGTCGTTTGTTGGAACCTTCTTTGTAAAGTTTAGAAAGAACTAATTTTTCTACCCCAAAGACAACACCGTCTTTGCATCAGATCCCAATAGCTGTACTACTATTTTCCACAGCCTTCATAGCATATTCAATTTGAAAAACTCTTCCATCAGGAGACAATGTAGAGGCTGATAGATCATACCCGGTTCCGATCGAGCTCATCTTGTCCAAACCACCGGAGCGCGTTGGGAGACCAGGCCCAAGGTCGGAGCCCTTTCTGTCCCAGTAGATCTCACCAGCTTGACCCTAAAGTACAACTGGAGCTGCCACCCACCACCCACCTGGTCCAGCCCAGCCAAGTCCACCCTCCCCCTACCCATCCAACCCACTGTAGGCAGAGGGCACTGACAGCACGACAGCACGGAGCCAGGTCCTCCCTCCCCTGCCCTCAGCCCCCCAGGGCTCCCCCGTCACCTCCCACCTCCTGCGCCCAGCCCTGCCCCGGCTTCCTGGGCTTCGGCCTGCAGGCTTTGTGCTGCCCCAGGTCCTTTGCACGGCCCCTCCCTTAGCCCTCCCAGTGTCCCGCTGTCCTCACTGCCCGTCTTCCCCTTTCCTCAGCTACTGAGTCCTGAAAGCTGGCTGAGGGGCAGCAATGAGGTGGGAATGTGGGTCCTAGCCTCACTCCTGGGCTCAGAATCCAAACTAGATGAGGGGAGGGGGCAGAGGGCAGCTGGGCCAGGACAAGTGTGGGGTGCGGGACAGCACCCTGGACAGCAGGCTGCCATGTGGGGACCCAGCCCAGGACGGAGCTTCTTCCTGCGCAGCAGCCCCACTCGGAGCCACTGCTGTCCCCCTGGGGACCCGCTGTGTCCCTCCCCCACAGGCGGAAGGAAATGAAGTTGCCTCCAAGGACGACACGGAGGTTGCAGTGCTCACGAGCCTTTAATTTATCATGGACCTCGAGGCAGGAACGTTAGGCAAACAGCACGTCCATCCATCCGTCTGTCATGTTGGGAGGGGACACCATCCTGTTCACACAGGCAGGCACAGTGGGGTCGCATGGGAAGCTGCGCCAGCTGCCTGCTGCCTGGGCAGTGCCCACCTCTTCCTTCTCTTTACAATATAAATAACATTTCCAGACTACACATGGGCACAGTGACGGCACCGTGCAGGCAGTGGCTGTATGCAGAGGGCCCTGGGCTGGGTTGGCACCTGCTGCCCCTGTGGCCCTGCAGCCCCCAGCTCCAAGGCCCACAGGCCTATGGTCCCCGCCTCCTGGTGACCCCAGTCCTGGGGAGAACACATGCGCATGGCACACCTTGGCCAGGCTCTGGGGCTCTGCGCGGTAGGCTCTGTGGTAGCCCTGCAGCAGCTGTCCCTGTGGGCCCCGGCCAGACTCCTGCCTTCCCCTTCTGAGTCACAACGGTGACATGGGACAGGGTACCCGGGACACCTGGTCGCATGTGTGTGGCACAGGCAGACCTGGGCCACTGTGAGGGCCTCCCCTGTCTGTGCCCCATTCTCTCAGGCTCCTTGTTCCTGGGACCCAGAGGCCACCACATGTGACAGGGCAGAGGGCCCCGGCCTCGCATGCACACCTGTCCCCTGCCTCGCTGGAGAGTGACTCTCCAGAAGGACAGAAATGGAGCCAGGGAGACCGTGAGGCCCTGGGGACAGCCACCACAGAGGGCATGGAGACAGAGGGGCACCTACACTGCTGTCTGGGCAGCACAAGTTGTGGCTGTCGTCCGTCCCTGCCTCTGCCCCCGCCCAGCTCCCTGCAGGCGCCCAGGCTGCTAGGACGCCGCGGCACAGCGCTCCCCTCTGGCCTGCTCGGTGGCCAATGGGATTTTCAACAAACACGAACAGTGAAGTGGGGACACTTCATCCCCCGTGCTTCAGGGCTGCAGAAAAGAACGCATTGGTTTTAAAGCGACAAATCTAGAAAAAAACTTTGGGGGCTTCTGCCTGTTCTTTGTTTCCCATTTTTCTTAATTTTTTAAACAATACGTATTTATAGAAAGAACTTCACAAAGGCGGCTATGTACACAGTCCCATCCTGAGGCTGCTCGGTGGGTGGCAGGGCGGTAGCACCTTTACGAGGACAGGGCCGAGGGTCTGAATCTGAGGGGTGCGGGCAGCGGGCCTGGGGCCCTGCTCCCTGAGTCCAGGCTGCGCTGCCACTTGCTCCAGCCCCCTGGGCAGGGGGCGCCACAGGCCCAGTGGCCTCGGCTGGGGAGACCCTGCTGGCGCCTGCCCCATGGGGCCGAGGTGGCCAGCGGCCTTGTCCTAGAAGGGGGCCCCAGGCCGGGCCTGCGCATGCAGGAGGCTCTCTCCAAAGGCCAGGGAATCTGGGCTGCGGGCCGAGTCCTCAGCGGCAGGGACGGGGGCAGCGAGTGCGGCACCCACCCGCGGGCGCTTGGCGGCTTTCACCTCCTCACCCGTGAAGGTAGCTTCCTGCGGCGCCCCTGTGCTCAGCGACTGCAGAGACGAAAGGAAACGCAGTCAGCACAACGTGGTTCTTCCATAGCAGACTGGCTGTACCCTGGGAGCAACAGTCACACTGGTTCCCGCATGGCGGCCAGGTATACACAAGAACAGTCCACCTGTGGCTCCTGTGGCCATATGACTGCAGTGGCTGTGGGGACCCTGGTCCCCCTCCACCCCCCACCCCGCTGTCCTGTGCGTCCTGCGCGCACAGGCAATGTCAGGTGGCAGAGGAGCGGCTTCTCAGCTTGGTGGCAGGCCTGGAGGGGGTAGTGACTGCCCCAGGCCCCCACATCCCCCAAGAAGGCCGACACGTACCAGCCGGGACCGCACCCTCTTGGGCAGCTCCTCCTCCAGTGTGAAGATGTCGCCACGCTTCACCGTCAGCTGAGACCCGTCCTCGAACTCCACCTGCCAGGGGACACAATTTTCAGGTCACTTTTGATCCCTGGGGCCCCTCTGTTAAAGCTCGATGATGACAACAGGTGACAGAAGTGGTCACCTGAAGACAGCTGTGATGAAGGGGCAGTGACAGCCAAGCCAGGAAGAGGGGGCAAGGCAGCCAAACTTGGGGGGAAGGAACCCCATGGGAGCCGGGGCAGTGCCGGGCTGTGTGCAGAGGCCTGGCCAGCAGAGCAGCAGGCGCCGTGTCATGTAGGCAGTATGCTCAGCCTTCTGACCCAGCCACGGTTCCCCTCATCACTGCAGGAAGTCATGGGACCACAGACCAGGCTGCCCACAATGGCCCCATGTAGAAGAGCGGTGCTCCGTGGGGGCAGGATTCTGCCCGCCTCCTGTCCACCTGGGCCCACCGTCTTGGCTCCCACGGACACCAGCAGCCCTGCCCTCCTGGCCTTGATGGCATCGACCGCCCACCTAGCTCCTACTGCCCATTCTGCCACTGTGCCTGGCTCATGGCCTCCATGTGTGACAGGAACGTCCCCAGCACTCTTGATGCCAATTTCCTCTGGGGTTGCATGACAACTACCTCTGATAGTCCCATGTCCTTGTCTGTTGCTGGCCCCATGAGGATGTCTGGTAGCACAGCTGACCCCAGAGCCTCAGGGCTCCTTGGCTCCTAGGGGATGTGCTGCTGGGTGCCATCTTGGGGTTCCCTCCATGTACTGGCCCTGACCCTGGCTTTGCTCCCTGAAGTCCAGATGGCACCTGTGGCTCCACTTTCCACTTTCATTTATGTTTTTATTTACACAGCGTGGGGCTGGCGACAGGCTACTCTGCAGACAGGGGTCTCTGATGCTGTCCTGTCTTGTGCAGTGGGGCATCTCCTGGCTAGCAGTAGTCAGAGGACAAGTCACTGCAACAACCAGGACCCCTGAGGGTCTTCCGGGTAGCAGTGGGCGGGGGACACAGTGGACTCCCATAGCCTATGAGGTCTAAGAGCTGGTCACCATACAGAGTCCTTGTGAGACCCCTTTTTCAGCATGGGCCCCAGGGATCATGGCTGTTGTGGGCTGGGCTACTCCTGAGGTGAGGCCACAGGGCCCAGAGCCATCAGCACACAGGGCAGGTGGCACACAAGGTGGACAGAGGGTGGCGTGTGGAGCACTGACAGAGAAGCTCTCTGCCGGCCCTGACCTTCCGCAGCTGCCCCACACCCTTGGCCACCCTGAGATCCTCAGCTGTCAGAAGAGCCACCAGGTCCTGGCTGGGCTCTGGCTGTGAACCAACCTCTCCTGCTCTTGCTGCAAGCCCCCCACACTGAGGATGACCACACAGAAGCAAGACCAGAGGCAGATGACACTGGTGGTCTCAGTGGGACTTCCAGTGGAGACGCTCAGGACTGCCATGGGGTGGCATGGCCCAGTTGGTCCTGAAGCCACCCCAGTCAGGTCTGCTTATAGGGTGTGGCCACATGGCACCCGGCATGCCCACCCTGAGCACACAGGGCCACGCTGGGCCTTTGGCTCTGTTGTACGCATGTCCTCTCAGCAGCAGCCTGGGGGCCATCTGTGAGGCCACTGAAACTGCCTCTGCTGCCATGGTGCCGGATTCAGCCCAAGGCCTGAGCCCCTCAGCCACCAAGCTGCATTCAGCCCGCCCTCTTCTCCCCACACCCAAGAGGTGTGCTCAACCCCTCCCCAAGCCCCTGGCTCCCACCCAGCAAGCCAGGCTGCTCTGTACACAGGGGCTACAAAGTACAGCAACACCTGAGGGTCAGCAGCCAGTGTCTCCCTGCTAATAAGCCGGGGACTTCACTCTACAACTCCACACGTTCAAGACAGAAGCCGGAGCACTGTGCTTTACAGAGGCTGGGGCCTGGGGCACAGTCTGGCGGTGCAGTGCAGGCCTGGCATGCCCAGGCTCTGTCCTGGCCTAGAGTGATCTCCAGAGGGACAATGACTGGTGATGTCAGGGTCCCAGGACGCCATGGTCCTACCTGATAGATGTGACTTGTCAGGGATGAGATGAACTTGGCCTTGTACATGCTGCCGTCTGTCCACTGGAGCTCCACAAGCTCCCCCTCGGGCGGGGGCCCCAGCCGCACACAATCTCTACTCTGCAGATAGAAGGCAGGGGCGTAAGGAGGCCTCACGGGGCACCAGGCTGTGTGCTGGGGCCTGGAAGAGGTCTGCTGAGCCACGGGCCCTCTGTTTTGGCAGGACCCCACTAGCACTGGTGAGTGGGGCTGTTCACAGGGGCTGGGAGCGAGGGGTGCAAGTGGCTGTCCCCCAGCTCCCTGCAGGACCCACCCACGGGCTTTGGTGCCCACAGATGAGACCCTGCTGCAGTCACACCCCGCACAGGTGAGGCCCAAGCCCCAAAGCCGATGGCTAGCCCAGCCCCTCACCGTGATGCTCTCAGGGTACAGGTTGTCGCTATAGGAGCCATCGTCAAAGTTCACCTCATAGAAGACCTGCGTGGTGGTGCCGATGATGCGGCAGCGGTAGTAGAGCCCGTTGCGGTTCTTGGTGATGACCACCTGGCCTAGGGACACAGCCCTGAAGGCCTGTGCCTGGGGGAGGGTGCGAGGTCAGCAGGACCAGGTGGCGCAGGGGGCTGGGCAGGGAGGACAGGACAGGGGGACACTCACAGCATGGCCGCCTGCCCTGTGCTTCAGGCAGGTGATGGACACAGCGTAGGGCCAGTCATCAGGCTCCAGGAGCACCCCGGCAGCACGTGCACACGTCACGTGGAAGGAGGTGGAACAGCGCTCGAAAGAGCACTGGATGCAGGCACCCGACACCCTCTTCATCCGCTTGCGACAGTACACGCACTTCTGTGGAGGTACAGGGCTCACTGGACCCCAGATGGATGGGGTCTGTCAAGCTCCTACACTGTCCCGAAAAAGGCCTGGTCCCGGAGCAGGCCAGGAAATGGGGCCTCAGGCGCACCCCAGCATGAGGAAGCTAGATGCACAAGGTACTTCAAAGGCAGAAGGTGGAAGCAGCCAGCATCAAGGGCTGGATAGCACATGGCAGGGTCCACCCCACCTCTGCCACTTGGACAGGGCAGCAGCGAGGCTGTGACACTGCTTAAATGTGATGGGACCTTGAGGACACTGTGCTTGTGAGACACCAGAGAACACACAGCATGGGCGACAGCAGAGCTGGGAAGTGGACTCATGGGGACCTGGGCAGGGGAGGAGAGGGGCCACGTAACGGCTCCCAGGACAGATGGGGCTTCGGCTGGAGCAACTGAGCCACCTCCTCGGTGGCCGCCACATCCAGGCCGAGCCCTGCCATCACCCCGAGCATTTAATAACCAGGCCTCCTCACTCCTAAACACTGTTCAAAGGCCAGATAAGCACTGCTGTGGGCCGAAGCCGTGAGGCCGCACACTGATCGATGGCAATGAGATCTCATTATGAAACTGTCAATACCAGCGCTCCGGGGCAGGACCAGCCCTGATGTATGAGCCCGGTGGCCACGCCGACTATACATAGGACTGTAGAGCTGGCGCAGCCTGGGCGTCCTGGGGACACTGTGCCAGGCATAAAAGAGACCCTTCCAGCCCGGGGGCAGCATGTTAGGCAAGTGTCCTGGAGGAAAACATCCAGGAGCCCTCCCTCCCAGAACCAGCTGGGAATTGAGACAGAATTCATTCAGAGACAGAACCAGCTCTGACTTGCCACAAAGCTGTGCACAGTGAACCAGCTCCACCCTGACCCAGCCTCATCCTGGGCTTCCGGTTTCCCAGGACACATCAGAGATGCCAGGACCACCCCAGGCAGCCACTGCGTGTCATGGCCCTTGGGGCCTGAAGCCGAGGTCCTACAGGAGGGCTGGGGATGCGCTCCTCACTGGCCGGGCTAGCAGGAGTTAAGTGCGCTTCCTGCACAGCCCCATTAGGCAGGACATGCGGGCTTGTGTAAAAGGATTTTTAATTCATCGTTACAAGTGCTCTCGATGAAGAGGGTGCTTGCTGGAAATGTCAGAAGATCCATAAAGCGTTTGGGAGGGAGGATTTATCACCAGCGCCCGCGCCACGCCATCACTCCCCCTGAATAATGAGGCCTTTTACGCCTGCGTTTGTGGACTGAGTCACTGCCACCTTGCAGGCGGCACCTGCAGCTGTCGCCTGAGTTAGCCATCCATGCCAGCCAAGCTGGCGGCCACACACTTGCGAATGGGCTCTCCTGGCCACAGGCACAGTCTACCCTGATGGCCCTGCACCTGCGGGCTCGGAGCGCATGGAATCCACCCTTGGGCTTGGGGCCTCTTTGATGCCAGCTGCCATGGCTCAAAGGAGTGACAGACAGGGGTGGTATGTGACTGGGGCTGTGGCAGATGGGCGCTCACAGAGACCCAGAGCTCACTCACTGTTGGCAGCCACGGCACAGACAGCAAGGCCAAGGCTCAGAGAGGTTGGGGACTTGCCCAGAGCCACACAGCCAGACCCCAGCCAAACTCAGATGTGCCCTTGGGCCATCCCCCAGGGCGACCTAATCAGAGAGCAGAGGGACCCTGCCATGGACCTGACTGTGGGCTCCTTAATGGGGAGCCTTGCATGGGACACAACACTTTCAGCTCAGTAGCCCAAATCCCAGCAAGCTGAGGAAAAACGGGCAGAGGCCCAGACAAACATTTCTCCCAAGACCCATAGACAGGCGACAGAAAGATGGAAAGGCACGGGACGCCACACATCACTGGGGAGGGACACCAGGTCCCTGAGAGATGGGAGCTCACAGTAGACAGGGTAGAGCACGGGAGGGTCTGCTATGCGGGGTGGCAGAACACAAGCCACCCTGCCACCACAGGAGCGCCATGCCACTGTCTCAGAAAAGCCAAAGCCAGCAAGAGGCCCAGCAACCCCACTGCCAGGAATCCACAGCCCACACTTGCTCCATGACCCTGTTCGGGACAGCTGAGCACAGAAATCCCGTGCGTGCCATCAACAGAGGACCAGATCAAGAAACTGTGGTCCCAGCACAGGACAGAATGCTACCATCAGAAGAAACAAACCTTGGCTGGCACCAACACACGCCTGTCACAAGGCTGAGGCAGGAGGCCACAATGTAGCCCAGACTGGGCAACTTAGCAAAACACCGTATCAAAACCCAAAGGGCTGGAGTGCTGCGCCCCAGAGAGTGCGTGCCTGCCACGCACAGCCGGCTCCACACTGGCCAGGCACAGAAATAGCAGCAGGACTGAAAGGAAGGCCAGGAGGGGCAGGCACCGCAGAGCACCAGGCCTGCTTGTCGCAGGCGCACCGTCACTGTTACCACTGCCTGGAATCGTGGTGAGAAGCCTGCTCCCTGAGGTGCACAGCCTGCCTCCAGGCAGGTAGGTACTGGTCATGTGCCCTCTGTGTTCTTCACTTTTGTACCTGGCACCCTCGGAGAGGGCCGAGAACCTCCAGGGCCAACATCACGTGGCAGCACAGAAGGCCGGTGACCTGCGTGGTACCCTGCCCAGAGGATGCGGGGGAACGGAGGGGAATGAGAGGGGGGAGGGGTGGGGGCGGGGCCCTACCAGTTTCCACCGCTGCTCTGGGATGCCACTGATGTCCACGGGGTGGCGCTCTATCACGTTCAGGAACCGCACCTCTGGGACTGCAATGGCGCAGATAACGTGGATCCACCTGGAGGGCAAGGTGGGCGGGGCTCTAAGGACACTGCCTCTCCCCAGCACCTCCCCGAGGGCCTGCTCCCCACGGTGCTGTCCCGCACTCACCTCCGGTCTGTAGTTGTCTGCAGCGCGCCACCCCGGAGGTTACACAGGCAGCACTCCTGTAGGGACAGAGGGTGAGCGGCGCCCGAGATCCTGGGCACAGACAGGGAAACTGAGGCCAGGACCCAAACCCTCCCAGCACGTAGAGGCCCAGTTACCGCTGTCCAGGCATGTGCTGCGCACCGGGAACACGTCCAGCCCTCCTTGACCAGCTCGGGGCGCACACCGTAGCAGCCTGTGAGACCAAGACCACTGACACTGGACTCAGTACAGCTGAGTCCCGCCCCAGGCTGTGGGCTGCCCCCGGTGTGGGAGGAGGCAGCGCCGGACTGCTAGTAGGCCACCTTGGTCAGTGACAGTATTTGCCCTGGCATGTGGCCCTAGGTTAGGCCCCGGGCCAGGGTGGAGGGCCTGCCTGCCCTGGGAGCACCATCCTGCTCTGCAGAGGGGCTTAGCAGGACAACACCCTCCCGCTGGAACCCACCAGCCCAAGAGCAGGTCTCCAACTCAGTCTCCCGGCAGCAGGAGCCAGGCATCCCAACCACCCAACCACCCAACCACCCAACCACAAGTGGGGAGTTAGCAAGCTCCCTGGCCCCCTGGTGTGCAGATAATGAAACCAATCCAAAAAGCTTCCTTCTGTCCTGACACTCCCCATGCTGAGAAGGGCAGCACCGAGGTGGGCAGGGTGGTGGTGCCCACCCTGTGGCCCAGGCCCCTCGGCACTGGCAGCACTCACTGGCATGGACCTGCAGACAGCACTTGGCGCAGGTGATCAGTGGGCTGGTGCCGTCGTCGCCCACGCAGGAGTTGGCAGGCAGGGGCTCAGTGTTCTCCCCACTGGAGGTGAAGCACATCTCGGGGATGAGGGGCCGTGTCTTCTGGCCACACCTGGAAGGTGGCAGGGCCAAGGGGCCCTCGATGACAGAGGCCAGGGGCACCTCCTTCTCTGTCTGCAGGGACTGCAGGGTAGAAGATGACCTTTAGTGAAGGCACAGGCCCCACACTCCAACTCAGAGGCCTGCACACCCCTCCCAGGCCTCGACTGCCCTGGGATAGCAGGGCGCCAACAAGGCTGAGGTGCCCAGCATGCCAACATCCCTGCAGGGGCGGCGGCATCCCGGCCCCTGATCCCACCCAAGGCAGTCACTGCGCCACCAGCAGCCTGTGTGGGGCTCCCAGCAGCAGAGTGCTGAGAGCGCATGCCTGCAAAGTACACCTGGCTTGTCTCCAGAGCAGCAGGGCCTGGGGACAGCTATGCTGACCACAGGGCACGTGTCCCCGCCACTCTGCCTCCCAGGGCTGGCTTGCTGTGAGCTAGACACAATCATGGCACATGGTTCTGGCCCTTAGGAACACAAAGACCTAAGGAGTATGCAAGGGATTAAGAGAAAAAGCATGTAAACAGCACACAACAACAGGTTGTGCAGTCTGGAAGGCTGAGGCAGGAGGACCACAAGTTTGAGCCTAGCCTGGGCAACTTAGGAGAATTTCATCATTCTTCTCCCCCAACCCTCACGCCCACCCCACACCGGGGATAGAACTCAGGACCCTGCACTTACGAGGCAGGTGTCTATGCTGCTGAGCTATCTCTCTAGCCCTTCAAGAGTTTTAAAAAGAAAAACAGGCAGAACTGGGCAGCTGATGGCACAGGGCAGATGGGAGCAGAGCCCAGTTCTCAACCCAGATAACAGGACATTGGGAAGCAGTGTGGGAAATGCCAGGTACAGGCGGAGGATCGGGGCTCCCACAGTGCCTGAGCCCCTTGACTCTGTGGAGAGGGTGCCTGGCCACCTGCCTGGTTGCGCCCACCTGGCTGTAGGGGTAGAAGAGGCTGCAGATGGCACAGTAGGGCTCAGCAAGTGCAGCTGCTGCGTTGAACTTCCGCTCCGCCTGGAAGCTGGCCGCTCTGTTCTTCCACTGCAGAGACAGCAGCGAGCGCAGGGCCTCGGGGTCACTCACGTCCTCCTCTCCGCCAGAGAAGGGCCAGGCCTCTGGAAGGGCATGGTAGCAGGGTGAGGCCTGCTCCCACTGGGCCCATCGTGCACCCAGTTTGTCATGGCGCCCAGCGTACTCTGGGTCCATCACAAGACCTGGTAACCTTTTGAGGCCTGGTGGTGCCAGTGTGGTGCTGAGCCCCCCCTCGCGATATGTGGCCTCCCTGGACATGTGGAGCGGCTTTTGTGTGTGGCTGGGGCCGTGCAAGCCAAGGACCCATGAGCGCTCCACACCCATGAGGCTGCCTACATCGGGGTGAGTCCAGCAGGTGACTGCAGCCCTGCAGAACCCTCCTGGCTGCAGGGACCAAGTGCATGAGCTGGGCGTCCCAAGCTCCGTGCGCTTGACAGGTCAACTGGGGCTGAGTGGTAACCCGGGAAGGGATAGGGACCACACGCTCAGTCTCTGAAGTGACCTGAGGCTGAGGTCCTCCTGTCCACTGCCTGCAGACAGCTCTGGCATCCCTGTGACCAGCCAGTTGTTCCAATCTTGCCCCACCCAATGTGTCTTGTCACTTGGGGTGTTGTCTCCAAGAAGAACCTACAGCCCCAGAATTCAGGAGGCTGAGACAGGAGTATCACGGTGAGTCTGAGGCCCATCAGGGCTACACGGTAAGTTCAAAGCTAGCCTACACTATATATGGGAACCCTGTCTCAATAAAACAAAACAAGCTGGGTGTGGTGGTGCATGCCTGTAATCCCAGCACTTGGAAGGCTGAGGCAGGAGGATCATTGCGAGGTTGAGACTAGCCTGGGCTACAAAGTGAGCTTAAGACGAGTCAGAGCTGCAGGGCAAGACCCTGTCTCAGACAGAAAACAAACAAAAGCAGCAGCAGGACTCTCCTTCCTCAGGTTCCCCCTCCTCCAAACAGTGCCACCACAGCCTGGATCCTGGGCCTTGCCTGGGTCTCTGGAAGGGCCCTTGTGGGGTCAGTGGGTGTTTCAGGGCTGAGTCCACCCTGTCCAGCACCCAGGTCCGGTGATCTGGCTGCCTCAGCCCAGCACAGCAGCCTGGAGCCACAGGCTCAGGGGATAGCACTGGGCTCTCAAGTCAAAGGCCTCACTCGGGGATGCCTTGCAGCACAGGCAGGGGCACAGCCACCTGAGGCCCTGGAGACATTTTCTGGAAAGAGCCCTGCACTAAGGTGACCCCAGGGCCACACTTGGGACCACCCCATCCCCACAACCTTGCAGAAAACCCTTCTCTCGAGTCCTCCAGGCAGTCCTGGGATAAAGGCACCATCCCCAAGGCTTTCACCTTGTAGACACAACTCAAGCAGAAAGCTATTAAGCCAGGTGGAAAGTCCTAGCAGCACCATGGTGGCCTGGGGGCAGCACAGGCCAGGGGTGGCTCTGACAAGGCCACCCACCCCAAGGTGACCCCAGAGGTTTTCCTCTAGCTGGCTTCCCTAAGTAACCTCAGGGCAGTCCGAAGCCCAGACACACTGTGCCCTGGCTCTTCCCTGAGGGATGGGGCAGGGCAGGAGGCTGTTTCCAGGAGAGTAAGCCTGGAGCCACGGCCGGGCCCACACAGCCAAGCTGCCTCCGAGCCCTGCTCCACCACCTCTGCCTGGAACAGGTGTGACCAAGCTGCTGCCAAGGGCAATGGCTGCGAGGGGCTGCACTTTTCTGCAGCTCCCCGACACCTGCCCAGCATCTTCCATGCAGGTTCCCACATGTTCTGGCAGCAGCTGGGGCCACTGGCAAGGGTGTGAGTCACATGGGGACGGCGCCCAGGGTATTTGAGGCCCGAGTCTAGCAGAAGCCTGAAGTAGGAGCAAAGTCAAGGGGTGGGGACAGGGGCCACTCACCCTCGTCACTGGAGGCCTCCTGCTTGACCACTGACAGAGGGGATCTTGTGGGTGGCCGACCCAGGGGATGGCGCCGGCTCTTTTTGATCTCCATCTTCAGCTTGGAGAAGGTGGATGGAACCTAGAATGCACAGCACACCTTGTGGGACCTGAGAGGCAGGCTGCACAGAGTGGCATCGGGAGGGCCTGGCCAGACTGCACCCTACCTGCACCTCAGCACCGTGGGTCTCAGCCTCGCCCTCAGGCCCTGCCAGCTCCATGGGGGCAACCTGTGGGGGCGCACGGTCGCGCTCAGAAGCCCGTGGCACCACATACAGCATGGGGATGATGGGCCGTGGCTTGGCCTCGTGGTCCTCACCAGGCACCTCCGGGGGTACCACATTGAGGGGCGTGGGTGGGGGGCCCTCCTCGGCAGCTGGGAGCTCCAGAGGGGGCAGCAGTCTTGGGGCCTCCTCAGGGGGGAAGAGGGCCGGCAGGGGCTGGGAAGGAAGCTGGGGAGAGAGGGGGCTGTAGCTCTTCTTCTTCCGGTCACCCTTGGGCTTGGCAGGCCGCGGTTTGGCCCTCCCATCCTCTGTGGGGAGAGAGGTGGCAGTCAGGCCCATGGCTGCAGTCGTGCCCAGAACCCCAGTACAGGGGTGAGAGGTTGAGAGAGGTTCTGCTGATGGAAGGGGCTGTGAGCCAAGGGCTGCAGGCACCACCAGGAGGTGGGATAGGGACAGGGCTCTCCCTGGAGCCTCGGAGGGAGCAGCTCTGCTGACACTGATGGTCAGACCACGAGGTAAGCTGACACATGAGGTGACAAATGTGTGCTACTCAGAGCCACCAGGTTTCGGCTACTGGTGGTGGTGGCTTGTGTAGGGGCCACTGGGCTGAAGGCCCAGCTACATTTTGGTGTTCTAGACCCCTGCCCTAGGAGGCTCAGCTGCCGCCAGGTCATGAGACAGGCAGTGCTGACACACAGGTCCCAGGCAAACCCCTCAGGCCTGAAACACTGAGCTGCCACAAGGACTAGGCGTAGGGGAAGGGGATCCACGCCCAGCCACTGGGGCTGCATCTCAAGCACTGTGCTGTGCTCCCCTGCATCTGGGCCCTGAGGATCTGGCCCAGGAGCTCTAGCAAAGGTCTGGGCCCCAGAGGGGGTTTCCAGGACACGGCTGCACAGCACGCAGCCCCATGGTGCTCAGCATTCCTGTGAGAAGTGAGGGCCCTGGGCCCCCTGCCCCTACTCCAGCAGCTGCAGCGTGCAGGCCTCCAGCCATGGCTGTGGGTCAGGGCATCTGCTGCATGAACAGGGCCAGCTTGGCACAGAACAAACTTGATGAGGCCACGTCCCCTCAGAGGGAACAGCCTACTCTGTGGGCCTGGGACTAGCTGGGGGCACACTTTGAGCAAAGGCTGTTCCCATCCATGGGCACCTCACTGACCCTTAGCCCCTAGTCCTGATGCCCAAAACCCCCTGAGCAGCCAGAGTGAGTGTCCAGCTCCGGGAGGCGTGGAGGGCACAGCCAGAGCCACTGTAAGGAGGAAGCCCAAGGCTCAGAGGAATCTGGACAGAAGGCATGTGCTGGCTGGGCTGCCCTCAGGCCTCACCATGGGGACACCTGCTACCCCCACCACAGACCCCACGCCTGAGGAGGGACTGAGAGCCCTGTGGGTGCCTGCACAGGATCAGATGGCAGGCAAGCCCATTCCAGGACCTTCTCTGGGGTGGAAGGGATCTGCAGCCAGTGTTCTGGGACTGGCTTACCAGCCTTCCTGGCTCCAGACACCAATACCTCTCCAGGCACAGACCCAGCTCTACCCTAAGGCCACCAGTTTCCATGGAGACTGGCTCTGGCCCTATTTCCAAGGTGCCCACAGTTCTTTCCATGGCCCAGCCAGTTCTTTCTCTGGTCCTGCTGAGGGCCACCTTGCCCGCCTGTCATCCCAGCCAGAGTCCAGAGTATAGCACACCACAGGTGAGGCACAGTCCCCCTGCATGGCAGCCTTTGCTGTCCTGGTCTCAAAGCTGATCACCAGCTGCAGGGCCACTCTGGAGACAGAGGCCCCACAGAGGGCAAGTGGAGAGTGGCCTAGGAGGTCGCCCGGGCTGGGGTCTGCACCTGGGCCCCATCCTGGCTTGATTCTTTGGGGATGGAATTCTCCCAGGCCCCCAAGGTGCTTGGCTCAGAAGCCGCCGTCCTGCAATGTCAGGCCCAGGCACCAGTGGGGCTGTGAGCTGTGTTGGGCCAGCTGCTTCCCATAGGCCTGGGGAGCCCCAGGTTGCCAGTGGCCAGCAGCCAGTCTTGGCCCTGCCCATGCTTGGGGATCCTCTTGGGGACTCTGGTTCCATAGGCCCATGAGCCCCCAGACCCAACCTCCCCACAAGGCTTCATTTTGTTTGGGGATACCCACCAAACCCATGGCCCTCGCACAGGGGCCCCAGGGGACTGTAGTTTGCAGGAGCCTGCAGCTGGCCTCCAGGACAGAAGCTGCTCACAGCCTCTGCTCACCCCAGATCTGTCTGTGTTATGTCCCAGGAAGAGGGTTGCAGACTGGGGTCTCCTTGGTGCCCCACTACTGCACGGGGATGTGTTTCAGGTCAGAAGAGAAAACTGGCCTCAAGCAGTCTAGCAGAGACCCTGCCTTGTCCCCAGAGGCCTTGTCCTTGGTGGCACTGCCTGGTCACCCAGAGCAGCATCAGGAGCCACACGTACCCCCCTCCCAGTGGGCAGCTGCAGTTCTGTCTCTGTTGCTCCCATCAGTTGGCGGGGTGCTTGTGGGGGACACAGGCAGAACCAGAGGTAAGCGGTGACACTTGGAGAAGCGTTTGCACAGCCCGCTTGGTCTTCCGTTCCTTAGTCTGCCGAGGCCACTTTGTGGCCTGGGCCTGAGGAAAGGAACCTGAGATATGGGGACATGCTCTGTCTAAACAGTGATGATGGTCCTAGCCCATTCAGACAAAATCTGATTAATTAGGGATTCTGGGAGAACCATTATTTCCTCACTAACCAGCGGGGCACACATAGCCACCTGGCCAGGGACCATCCTCGGTCTGACTGCAGCCAGCAGTCCCTGCACCCTGCTCATTAAGGACCGAGGGATGCCGTGCCAGTGAGAGAAGCCTGGCATGCCCACCTCAGCTAGCCAGCAGGAATAGCAAGGGCCTCACCCCACTGCCCCCCTGCCCCTCACCAGATCCTCGGGGACATCCCACCAAGCCTCCGCTCACCTCACATCTGCATCAAGTGTGCTTAGGCGATGTGACGCCCTGCTGCTCGTGCCACCTCTGAGAACTCCTGTCTACCCAGTGCAACCCCAGCTCAGATCTCCAGACACCCCATGAAGCACGGGCCTGTGCACGCTCACAGTGCAGGCGCAGTGCTCAGAGGACGCTCCTCCCTGTGGTGGCTGGGGTCTGGCAGCCCGGCCTCGGCTGAGCCCCTGCAGCAATACCACCCAGCTCCCACAGCACCTGTGTGGGCGTCGCGGGCCAGGCCTCAGCACAAGCCCTCACTCACTGCGAAGTCAGATGCCATGTAGGATGGTGTCCTTGTGAAGGTGGAGATCACTGCTCAAGGACACAAGCAGCCACGGGATGGTCCCACACAACCCCCGAGGACAACACGCCTGCACCCTGATCTCAGAGCGATACCAACGCCCTGCAGCTCAGCAGCCCCTCACCTGCCTGGAAGCCTGTGGCCTGTGCAGCATGGACCCCCCCTGGCCTGAGGGCCACAGCACAGGGCCTGCCTGCACCATGGCCTCCTCTTCACACGTTCCGCTCCAGGATCTGCCTGAGCTCTACAGCGAGCCTCTGTGTGACATGCACTCCACAGGCCTCCAGGGGCTGAGAGGCTCCACAGTGGGCAGGTGACTCGCACCCCACAGCAGCAGCTGGGCTGCTCCCTGCTGCCTCCTCCAGCCTCAGGCACCAGGCAGGGGCCTAGTCTCCAGCGCAGCACAAGGGAACTCTCCTAGGGCGCTGTGCTGCAGCTGCCTGCCTCCCTGCCTCCCTGGGTAAGCTGTGTTCTCTGCTGTGTGCTTGCCAATGGAACGTGAGCTGCCGGTTCTAGGAATTTAGCCTCCTACTGCCTGAAAGCAGTTTTCTGACGCTGTTTTTATAATGCTGAGAATTAAGCCAGGTGTCAGGCAGAATAGTGGCCCCCAAAGATGACCCCACCACAATGCCAGGGTCTGAGAAAAATGCCACCCTCCAGAACAAAAGGGATCCTGCAGCTGGGCTAAGTGAAGAACCCTGAGAGGGTCATCCTGACCACTCAGGCCTAGGGTGCCCCAGGGACCCCTAAGCAGGTCAGGTGGGTAACAGCCAGGGGCTGAAGCTGGGGTGCCAAAGCTGTGCCGATGGAGGGAGGGGCTGTGAGCTCAGGCTGTGGGCACCTCGAAGAACCATGGCCAGGAACCTCTCCTGGGAGCCTGAGGAGTGGCAGCCCTGCCGCCTAGGCCTGGATTGCAGCACACAGAAGCCCGTGTCGGCCTTTCACCTTCCAGAGGCTTGAGAGGACATTGTGCAGTGTGAAGCCATCCAGGTCATGGACCCAGTGAGTGGGACACAAGTCCCGTCCCCTGTGCCAGGGTCCACCCTTGCTGCATCTTGCCATCACTGACAGCCCAAGCCCAGCGACCCACAGGTAATGTGCACGGGGACTATGTGCTTGCAAGGTCCTGCAGCAGGGGCAGTCCAAGCAGCACCTCAGAAGATGCTACAGAACAGCAACAGTGTCATCACCCAGATGCTATAAATGGGCCTTCCCACAGGGACCCTGCTGGACTCTGGTCATGGCTCCATTGAGACTCCCAGGGCCTGGGTTGGGTCCCCAGTTCATGCCCTGCCTCCCTCTGTGACTCACAGGACCCTGCAGGCCTGACTCATGATGCTTTTTGTACATAGAAGACTGGGCATACAGCAGCTGCTCCACCCTCCAGCTTTCCGCTGGGGCATCTGAGTCTCTGGGCCCAGCCAAGGGCTGGCTCCCCTGTTCTCTGCCCGCCACCAGGGCAGCACTGGGAGTATGTGTAGGGACCAGCATTGTAGGTGAAGAAATGAGTCCCAGCCCTAGGAAGGAGAAAGCCCTACTGATGGCAGAGAGAGGGCACCTGAAGCTTCACAGGTTAACAGCTGCAGTCAAAGAGACTGGCCAGGGGAGAACATCTCAGAGACACCCGAGCCCCAGGGGGGCCTCCTGGCACTGCTGCTGCTCCTAGGCCCTGGCCATGGGGTCACCCCTGCGGGAGCGTAGTCCCTGCGCACAGCAAGGCTCTTGGTTGGGCCATCCCTGCTGTGGCCCATCCAGCTACCACACTGCTGGACAAAGTGTACAGATGCAGCTCGGGACAGCCTGGGAAGGAGCCCTGGACTCACCGTCAGCACCCTCACCATCCTGGCCCTGTGGCAGCTCCTCATCTTCCTCCTCAGGGTCAGCATCGTGTGGGGCTTCCTCCTTGGCACAGCCCGCCACCTCCTCCAGGTGGGTCACTCTGGTTGCCCCCTCACCTGGACATCTGGGGTCTTCTGGCTTGGGCTTCTTGGGCTGGCTGCGCTTCCGGTGGGACCTGGGGTGGGGGAAGAGTGTCAGGCAGGAGGAGAGACAGAAAGAGGGGAGAGGCTGTGGACTGCTGGCAAGATGGAGCCCACCTACCCACCCACTGGCAGGTGCAGCCTGGGGGTTAGGGATGAGGGGCCCTGGCAGGGCCAGGCGAGAGGAGCAGATGGGTGTCAAGCAGGTGCTGATGGCAGCTGGAGATGGATGCCAGGGACACCAGGTGGATGGCAGGACAGTTCGGCCTCCAGGAATCACGCAGTGGGGACACACAGGGGCAGACACAGATGGACAGCAGCCCACATGAAATGCTGGCAACAGGGACAGAGGAGCACTTACGCCAGCCCCGGCTTTTTGGTCTGCTCTTTCCTTCTCTCTAGACTGGGTTTCCTCTCCTCCTCAGTCTTTCTCCAGTGTCTGTTTTCCTTCAGACTAATTTGTCTAGAATGTAAATTTCAGGGAGTTTTTTTTTCTAGCACTCTGGTCACACCCCCATGCATCTCCTGAGGCCTAATCTAGGGCATCGATTCCTGTCCCCAACTCGCCAGGTCCCCTGAGTGCAGATCAGCTAGCCTGGTACAGGGACACCTTGAGACAGGAAACAGGAGGCCCAAGAAGGCCTGTGGGCTGGCTCAGTTATGCCCTGCGAGCAATAAGAGGGGACAGAAGAAAGGAGAAGTGGCAGAGGCTGCGAGCAAGGGACCTGCAGCTCCTCCAGGTGCATGGTGCTGCCACTGCCACAAGACAGGAGCAGAGGTGAGTAGGCCATGCCCCACCTCCCTGCATGGCCACAGGGCACGCTGACCTTGCTGCCTGATGCCCCGTGCCCTTTCTTCCTCCCCAGCCTCCCCCATCCAGCCCTTCTGATGGCCCAGCAGAACTGCAGTGGCTCCCTGACAGTGCCAGGGCCCTCCTATCCCTCTCTGTCATCGATCCCTATGTCTTGGCTTATGACTATGTCCCCACCCAGCAAGAGCCACTCAATGGCAGCAGCATGAACCCAACAAGATGACTAGCAGCAGAAAGCAGGTGCAGCATTCCAGGGACACAAGCAAGGGCATGGTGGGTGTCACACACGCAGGGTGCTCAAGGTGAAATGGGGGCGGCAGTGAGGGACAGGGAGACCCTGAAGGGGGAGGGGAGGGGATGTGGGCCCACTCCTAGCAAAGTCACCTGCAGCCTGGGCAGTAGCCTAAGAATTACCAACCTATCCCATCAGAGGCTACTCCAGGTCAGGAGCTACAAGGGCTGCAGGGCCAGGGCACCACAGACACCTTTCACCCAGCCCCAGCCCCAGCCCTAGCCCCAGCCCCAGCCCCAGCAGCAGCCTCCTGCCCACCCACTTGCCTGAATGCTGAATCACCCTCAGTTCCACATGGCCACCTCTGCCCTCCCTGCTCCCTGCTGGGAACCAGCCCTGGAGTCCACTTCCAGACAGCAGACAAGGCCTCCTGGGCACTCAGCCCACCAGGCTGCTCATACTATAGGATTCAGGGCCTGAGCACAGCCGAGCTGCTGCGTGGATGGGAGGTGGCTGAGCCACATGGAAGAACAGGCCTGGCCGGTGTGCCCATGGGGCTGGGACCACTGTGTCCAACTGCCACTTCCTCTGCTGCAGCCCTCCCTAGATGCACCATCTTCCTCTCTTGCATCTTTTAGTTTTTATTTCAGTTGTTTAAGACAAGGTCTTGTTATGTAGCCCAGGCTGGCCTTGAATTTGGTGTCATCTTCCTTCCTTGGCCTCCTGAGGCTGGGATAACAAGTGTGCACCGCCGTGCCTGGCTCTCTCATCTCCTTACTGCAAGCAACTGCCCACACCATAGCTTCATTTTCCACACCTGGGTCCCGCCGCCATTTCCCACACAGATGCAGATGGGCTGGCTGTCCAGCACCAGCCTTTCCCGTGTCCATTTATCTTCGTCTACGAGTCATGGGCCCCTGGGAGCTGCCAAAGGCCCTCTTCTCCAGTCACTTCTTTTCCAAGTCTCCAGGCACCCAGCCATGCCGGCATTCTCTTGAGCAGGGCAGCACATACTTGCTGAGACCTGACTCCCTCTGGTGTAACTGCCCTTGGAGCCACTCTCTTGACCTGGTGGCTCTTGTAGTTTCCCTTTGCGTGGCTGGAGCGTGTCCCCTAGACGCCCTCTGAGGAGGGAGGTGCATCTGGGCGCTGCAGGCCTCAGGTTGTGGTCTGGCTGCTCCTCCCCTGCTGTGCGAGATCTGGCACCTTCCTGCAGTTTGCAGCAGAACAAGCCTCCCGAGTTCAGGCCGAGCAGGCACTCTGTCCTTCCAGCTGGACGTTTTGGGGTTTCCTGAAGGACCCCAAGATCGAAGTCCCCAGGAACAGGCCATAGTGTGGGGAATTCTCCCTTGCTGTGCTATACCTTTAATTTGGAGTTGCAGCCTTTGGGCTCAGAGCACCTCCCTTTTTCTGGCTGAAACCCCTATTAGAGGCTCGCCTTCCTGACATGCTGACCTCCTGCACCTCAACTCTAGCACAGGAGCTCCTTGGGCCTCACCATATCTCCCAGGCTCTGGGCTCACAGTTACTACCCAAGAGCCATCCTGCCCTGGGGACTTTTCTGAGGACACACCCTTCTGTAGTGAAGGCAGGCACCTCCCACTCCACAGAGGTTTCTGAAGTTTTGGGCTTGCTGTGCTCGGACTGTGGCCTTCCCATTTGCCACCAGGGGCCTGCCCTTCCCTCAGAGCTGCCTCACGGCTCAGGGCCACAATTGTGGTTCTCTTGCTTATACAAGGCTACTGCAGGGAGTCACAGAGGGTGCTTGGCCACACGACAAGAAGCCTGATGCAGGGCCCGCTCCCCTACCCCTGGGGACAACAGTGGTCTGTTTCCCAGGCTTCGAGAATGCACCTCCTTCCCACCCAGTCATCCAAACGCAGAGCTGCCATCTGCGGGGAGATGGTGGGTTGGGCATGGCGGCAGCCCCCAGCTGCAGTGGGCTGGGGGAGGTGCCTGAACCCTGCAACACCCTGCCCCCGCCCTGAAACGATGGCTCCTGCCAGGCCTGAGGGTCCCCACCCCACTTCCATCACACCTTGCTTCCCCGCTTCCTTCAAGTTCAAAGTCTCTGATGCACCCGGTCACTCCTGTCCCTGAGCCTGGGCCTGGGCCCAAGGGGTGGCTGTGGCAGCTCGACAGTGTTTCTGGAGAGAATGGGACCTGTGCATGTGCCACCTGCCAGGCAGAGTTGGGCATCACTTGGTTAATTCCCACCACACTGGGACAGAGCCTGTCTAACATTAATTTACTCAGGACAGAAGCAGGCGCTTCCCCTGGTCTTCGGCTGACAGGAGGTGGAGAGGATAGTCTGCAGCCCACTGCCAAGGAGCACAGAGCACAGGCCCATAGCCTGCGGCGGCCAGGGCACAGTACTGCATGTGTCCCCAGGCTCCAGGTCCCTTTACCTCGCCCTCTTTCCTCTTGGGTTCTCTCCTGGAATAATGGTCGCTGCATGTTCCAGGGAAGAGAAACTAGGACATGAGGCCAGTGCTCCTTGCGGCCCAGGTGACACAGTCTTTTGGGGGCTGTGGGTCCAGCAGTAATTGGGGTGGAAGCAGCAAGCCAAGGTGCAAGAGCCATGGGGCTGCTCCTCACTGGGCCATGGGCAGCTCAAGGACTACTCCTCATTTCCCTATCTAAGAGTGTCTAGTGGTGGCTGGAGGAACCAGGGGAAGCTGCAGGGCCAGGGAAACCTGGGCCACACTTGGCTGGTGGCAGCAGGGGGAGTTGGGCAGCAAGGATGCAGGGCGCACTCAGCTGCCACTCCCTTCCCAGGGCCTGGAAGGGGGTATGGTGATGCGATGCCCCACGCAGCTCAGGTGGGAGGTGCCTGGAGTGGGATGTGGGCCACAAGGGCACCAGACAGCACAGCACTTCTCGCCTGGGCCAGCCAGGAAGAAAGCACAGTGTTCCCTGACCAAGGGCGGCAGGGGTGATCAAGTCACCCAGTAAGATGAAGTTATGGAGAATGAACCCATGGAAAGGCAACGACTCTGGCCAGGGCCTCCTTGGTGCTCAGTGGGGTCAGTGATGCAACTAGGAGGACCACGGCTCAGCCTCGGCCCTTGCTCGGGGCCGCCTGAGCTCCTGGGACTCGGGGGACCCACATGGGACCAGGCCACCCTGATAATGTCCCTTGGTCTAGGGCAGGGCTCCTCACCAGAGGACAGGGGGCCATGTCTGGGGTGTCTGCATTCGTCACTGCTAGGGGAGCTCCTGGCTTAGAGTGGGTGGAGACAGGGCTGCCGCCTGTGGCTCAGCACCTGCAATGCTCAGGATGCCAGGAGAAAGCCCAGCCCGGGGGCTCAGGCCCCAACCCATGGGGACGTCCCCAGCCAGGGACAGCTGACAACCTCACCCAGTCCCCAGTAGGCCTGAGCAGCTCAGGGTCCCAGCCAGAGCTGGCCGGCTAGAGTACAGGGACAGTCACAGGGAGGGCACAAAAGCACTTCTCAGCATCGCTGCCTGAAGGCAGCTGGGAGCCTCAGGCCGCCGCCAGGCTTTGACAGGCGCACAGCTGCCTTCCTGCACCCTGTGACTTCGCAAGAAGAAAAGGGAATCCACCTTGTTTTACATACTAAAGGCTTTAAAGAAAACTGTATCTCTGGGAACAGGGCTTGATTTGTTATTCTGTCCCCAGTGCTAGGTTATTAGGGCTCCTACAGGCTATGAGGGGAAGCACAGAGCTCCAGAATGGGGCGGGACTGGGGCTGGGGGCGGGGGGGGGGGG